AATGGTCGATCAACTCGATTAACAATACAGACGGTTCCATTGTTAGTCCCTTTTTTGACACTTGTGTTCATATGCTTTAATGGTAAAGTTTTATGTTTTACACTTTGACTTTTATGAAAAAAATGAATGTTTAAAAGTTCATAAATTAATTGGTCATATAATGTCGTCTGTTGTAATAATATCAGTTTCGTCAGCAATATCACAATTTCGTAGTGAAGAAACTTAAGTAGGAGTAAATTGTATATAAAGAAATATTCAATCGTAGAAACATACTATTATTATTATCAGATTTTCGTATAATAACATTGCGACGTAAGCGCTGGCTTTGCTGAATAATCTAAGTGATAGAATATTTTTTTTTTAGTTTTTGAAGAAATAATATGTATTTCAATTTGCTAGGAATGAAAATTTGATAAAATAAATTTTACAAAAAGATTCCTGATAATAATATAATTGTTTCTTTCAATAAAATTTTTAGGATATCTTACAGCATGAGACGGTAATGGAAGCTCATCATTTTCATTGATTGAGATTGTTTGAGTTCTTGTTTGAGTTGTTATTGATGGATTATTATTTGACGATGATGTTTCTGACGAAGAAATGCTAATTGAAAGTTCTGACGATGAAGTTGAAACATTATATATTGTTGAATATGGAATTCTTGAAAAAAGCTCTGTGCCAATAGCACTCAATTTTGAAGGTGGCTGGATTCCAACTGATCGAGAAACGTCAATATAAGCAGATAATTGAATGTTATAAATTCGAAGTTTATTAGAAATGACATCACGATCCATCTGATTCGTTGGTAAGATTTTGGCATAGCATTCAATCGGTCGACGCGTACTTGTTAAAATAAAATAATCTTTAAGCAGTAAACCTTCTGTAACAAGTGTTTCAAAAGATTGTGTACCAATATTTCGATCAATTCTTTTTTTTTCTAAAAAAGTTCTGAAATATTGTGTATTAGTTTTATAAATTAGATTGTGATGATGAAGTTTTTTTTTTTTTTTGCTCTATATTAAAAGCTGGTCTCTTTTTGGTGATTAAGCTATAGAGTGTACAAACTAATTGTGGTGAACGAAAATGATGATGTGAAAACGATATTATTTAAAATAAATGAGAAGATACCAAGTCAAAATAGAATGATTCTTTGGAAAACGTACTACGATTCTGTTAACTTTATTCCATGTGTCAAATTTTCAATAGTCAGACAACTTATTGTTTTAATGACAAAGATTACCTTCAAAAATTTTGTAAAGTATGTCTTATTGGTATTCAACCTCTGATTCTAAGAACCTTGCTGGTTGAATTTTGATTTCTAGAATTCTGAATGATAGAATGTTGAGACTTTGAGAATAGATACAACTTAATACGATACATATTTGATTAAGCGGAAGCTATTTCTGAAAATTATCTTTTTGATCAAAAGGTCCTGTAGAAAACTGGACTTTTTCGAGGATTGTGGGTTCTAGTTTTTGCCACTATCAATACAATTTCATAATTAGTAATATATGAGCTACGTAGTCATGTTACGCCGAGTAGAGAATTATCCAATATAGAAAATATAATTGCAGTATAATTGCTGTGAACTATTTTCCTAATTTTCTCTAACGATACTGTTGTTTATTCTTTTTAGACAACATTAAATAGTTATTTCTATACCATTAAAAGAATATAAATTTTCTTTTGTAATTATAATCTGTGGCAGCATAAGAATTTGACGGCATAGTTCTTTCCCTATAGTTGGATTCATATTTGGTATAACTGTTTCTAACGAACTGATATCAAAAACTTTGAGCGTTTGCTCTAATAAATATCCATGGAAATATATAGCACGAGAAGTCGATGCTTTTGTTATTGTTATTTGAGGTTCAAATAATCTTCGAATAACCATATCGATCTCATTATATAGACGTAAATTCAATCCAATCATATCATCAGGTGCACGAATTCTATGAAAGAAATAATAATAACTAGAAAAAAAAAACATACAAAAGGATTTACATATTAGCATGTTCGATAATTGATGGCAATAAATCAATGATCTGTGTAAGTGTGCTGATTCGGGTTACTTGGATAGCTTGTTTCGCAAGAAAAGATGTAATTCTCGATGAATTAGCTTCAGATGCTTGTTTACTAAGCTCTTCGATATAACTATCAAGTAATAATTGCGCTTCATGTGAATACACATATTGACGACGCCCGAGTATTAACATAGCCATCAACATTTGAGCAACGGTTGGCATATTTTGATTCGGATCAACATGTTGTTGTCTTAAATACTGTTGGTAACCAAGTACAAGAAACAAACAACGAACGACGACACCATCAGTCATAACATGCTTTAAAAAATCTTGTAAAATCGGTGGAAGTAAAACACCTGTGCTAGTTCCACATATTGTCATGCGAGCATTTCTTATTCGTTGTCGATATCCTTTTGTTTTTTTTCTCATAGTAAGTCCATCAAATAATTGACAAAACATTTGTCTACTTGAATCGGGTGTATTGTTTGAAAAAAAGCTCATTTGCTTGAGTGCAACATCAACTTCTTCTTGAATAATAATAATATTGGTTGATTCTTTTAACTTTGATGTATAAAAAAAAAAAAAAAAAAAAAAAAAAAAAAAATTCCATTGGATTATAATAAGTTGAATGTTTTATGACTCAAAATGTTAGTCAATTTTCTATAGGACATCTAGCATATACTAGGACCCATACAATAAAAAAAACCTTGTGATTATTACAGGTCGATGAAAAAGTCTAATTTTTTTTATTTAGTTTTCTAGTCTCAAACTATAATTATATTCAGAATTTTTAAATAGATTCGTTCAGGAAATGAAATATTAATGTCTTGTAAACGAAATATGAAAATTCTTTAGCAGGTAGAATGATCCAACAAAAGAATATAGTAAGAAAACGTATATTATCTAAGTATATATTTTTTTTAAATCTACCTGGTCCATAAAACCAGCTTCAGTAAATTTATCAAGAATAGAATGAATAGCACTTGGATTTCCAATATTATGTGCAATAAGAAATTCGTATAATTCTTCTAAAGCTTCTCGACATTCTCGTACAGAACCACTTTTTGTTACACCTATCAAATAAAAATATTATATAAATATCAGTAGCAAAAAGATATTAACCGGAGTATCCTAAAATTATTGCATATAAATTAAGAAATCGAGGAATACGATTCCATTGCATTACGGTACTTTCCATCGAAAGATGTGCTATCGTCGCCATAAGTGAATAATAAAGGCTGAGTGGTTGTCCACTAGTTAAATCGTTATAATTGTGAAGCCATTGTAATACAACAGGATGAATACATTTTTCAATATCAACATGAATATGAGAAGCTAATTCAATATTTTTTTCAAGTAGTTCATTAACTTCTTCAATATCATATTTTCGACGTTTATTTTTTGAAGACTCCACGTTTAAAAATGTATTGATGTTATTTCTTTGATACCAATATTACAGTTAGATAGATAAATATAGATAGAACGATTAGTAGTCTAATGCTTAAATATTTTTCAATTGTTTTTTTTCGCGGCTACCATTGCAAAATAACTCACTGATAAAGTATTAAAAAATTTTCAATTAAAGAACATAATGCCGTACAAAAATTCGGATATCCAGAATATTTTACCAGAAAATGAAGTTCATTGGAAAATAATATATTGTCCAAAACGTCGTATAACACATAATGAATATCGAATATCGATTGAATTAAAAGATAAAAAACGACAATATACATGTGTATCTTTCGAACAATTATTTGAGTTATTAGAAAAAACACCAATTGAAAAACGATGCTTTTATGAGCATATTAGTCGTGGTGATACTGTGAAACTTTATCTTGATTATGAATATTATAAAAATCATCGAAATGCAATGATAGATGTGAATAAAGCATTATTATGTATTCAGCAATTATTTATTAATGTAATTCAAGTCTTGTCGAATAATAAGAATATTTTTATACATGATGTAATTGTATTAGAATCGTCATCTGATGAAAAAGAAAGTTATCATATAATCTTCAATAATGAAAATATTCGTTTTCTTGATAATCAATCTGTATATTTGTTTGTGACCGAAGTATTTCGTATCATCTTATTAGCTACTATTACTCATGAATGTTTGAGAAATAAAAATTATATTGATAAAAAGCTAAATAATGAATCTAATTTAATGGAGGTAATCAATGCCTTCAACTGTGTTTGGTTAGAATGGTTTGCTTGCATTGATTGTAAAATAAAAAATATGGAGCTTAATGTATGTGATGTTTGCAATTTATTTGTACATGATCAAAAAGGATATATCATTCCATGTGTTGATTTGAAAGTATATGGTATAGAACAAGATTTTCGTATGTTTATGTGTACAAAAAGAGGTGAAGAGCGACCATTAATAAAAAGTATATTATTTGGAAAAAAGCTAGAAACTGGTATTGCGTTAGGTGAGAACTAATAGTAAATAAAATTATATTTAGTAATAACAATAATTATGTATTCTAATTTAGCTTCGAACACTGGTAAAGAATTAAGTATTAATTTAAGAAAAGAAACACTGCAAAAATCATTAGTGACTGAGCCAGCCGGAAATAATAGTCATTATGTAGATGTTAATGGAATCTGGAAATGGGCGAAATTAATTGGAATTGATATGAAGAAGGAAAGAGAGCAATCTAGCGAAGATAAACAAGATGTACAAAAAAAACATCTCAGTCTAAACGAACATAAAATTTTAGCTCGTAGCGAACACGAAATTTATGCTGAGGTGTGGACGAAAACGTATCTAAATTCTATAGGATCATCTGGTGTAATTCATTCTATTAAAACCGGCAAACATGCTAGATTGATTATGTGTAATATACGTAATATGAACACTTGCAAAGAATTACATGAAGATTATATTAATGATAGTACAATTTATGTAAATTTAAAAGAAAGACTGTTTTCTGTGCGTTGTAACCATATTCCATGTAATAAAAGACCTTGGGTATGGCAACCTCTAATTTAATATATATTGAAAAATTTTTTTTTACAAAAAATGTAATATAAAAAAAGTCATTCTTCGATGTTCATACATTTACCAAGTTTAGCATGACATTTAGTTGAACATGCTATTGATGCCCGTTTGCAGGGACAAGTTTTCGCCATACATTTTGTCTTGCAATCACATGTTGCAGCAGGATTACCACGTGCGAACAATTTAGAAGCTTGAACGAATGTAATTGTTGGTATAGTTTCAAATTTTATATTTTGTAATACTGTTGGTTTTATACCTGACATTGGTATAAGTTGATGTACAGGAAATGCTGTTGATATACGACCATATGGACTAATAAGATGATATGTTGGGATATCTGTATTGTTCGAACGTTTTTCAATTATACATGGCATAATTTTAGGATCGCAATTTGTACGATCAACTTTATGGATTGATATTCCAACAAGATCACCATTTTTATACGAATCAGCTATTTTTTGTATATGATCATCATATATTTTTTGTCGTTTATTTTGAGATTTCAGATAACTAACTCGTGCAGTACTTCGATATGATTCATGTCGACTATATAAAAAAAAAAAAAAGAAATCATATTGATTTCATTACATGTTTAGTTAATGGTTGTAACCTATCAATAGTAGTTGTAAGTTCTGAGGATGTTGAATTAAATGTTGTTTTCGGAATATCATTACTTATTTCCTTCATTGAACTCAAAGAAACTTCTAATAATAAAAAGTTAATACATATCTTATAGCATTAAAACTTAGAAGGTATTTTCAACCTGATTGAGCATATGAATCTTTAGATGCTAATAATGGTCATGATATATAACAAAAAATTAGAAAGAAGAATCCAAGTGAAATATGAGTCTATTTTTTTTTCTTTTAAGTAATGAAGAAAATGATAAACAGGAGAAACATGTCTTGCCTAATGAAATGATTGGTTTTGATAGCATAGGTTTTATTATTGGTTTTCTTTTTTGACATGAAGAACAATTTTTTATAAATATCTGCAACATATGACGATTATACCAGCTATAATGCATTGATAAACTATCCAGACATTTATCGCGTCCTGCATGAGCTGTTTCAATATGAGTACGCTTATAAATATCGTACATCTTTTCATACACTAGCACCGGTTTATTATTTTTTGCATCACATAGTAAAAGTTTCGAGCCAACATTTTGTACGATAAATGACGTACGACACCAAGATGTAAAACGAGAATCGAAATCTGATGAACACTTATTTGTAAGGCAACGAAGAATTTTTTCATTCATAGCTTGTGTGATCACCGTCTTTTCTCGAAATTTGCTATTTAAAGATTTAAGATATTCACTTGTTTGTCTGTAAAATTCTTTTCGAGATTCAACTTCTGATTCTTCTGACGTTGAACAAGAAGTCATCGCTGTACTTATCATATGTTTAAATATGTGAAAATAAATATTCTGTTGTACTATTTAAAATTTGTTCAATCGAATAGTGACTTTTTTTCTGTATTAGTAATGAGAACAACAATCAATAAAAAATTTCACTCTTTCGCGCCTGACTAAAACTAATTTTGCCTAAGTTTAATTTTGCCTAAAGTTTAATTTTGCCTGGGACATATATTTCAGAATTGATTAGTTTCTTGATGCAGCACAGCTTGCAATTAGAGTGTGAATGTGGGTATGAACATCGGTGTGGGTGTCGGTATGGGGTGTGAGCGTGAGGTGTGTGTGGATATGAGTGTTATTTCATCCACATTCAGAATAGACATGCATCGAACCCGAATTTGCCGGGGTTCGGTTGTTTCCGGGATTCAATCAATACTAAGTTTCAGCTCAATCCAAATGTTTCCTTCAATCTTACACAGTTTCACTAGCATATAGATTTGACTAGAGAATTTCTATCGAAGGTAAATCGAGGTCGAGTAATTCGAAGCTGCAATTAGACTTTGAAGATTTTCAATTGGATTTTTTCGTTAGGAGAAAGGATTCTTCGAGAAAATAACGATATTTTATAAAGGTTGACGAAAGTAAAGGGTGGCCCAGAATAAATAGCGGTCTCAGTATTTTGTTAATATCTCAGCTGTTATTTTATCACTTATGCTTTATTTTTTATCAAAAGATTCGCCATTTAATTCTGCACAAACTGGTATATTTTATTCCGAAAAATACTTATTTCTTTATCTTTTGACATTACCATGAGTAAAAGCCAACACTGTACAATACTTTCAAAATGCTCATTGTTTTGAAGTTTTTCCGAAAACATCCAGTTCCTGAATTATGCTTATTATTTTTTGTTGTGGTGCATTGTTTACCACAGCAATGAAATTAATCGGCTTAAATACGATTGATATAAATGAACTAATTCAGCTCTTGAGTAGTATGTGCAGTATGGCAAAAGTAACAGGATTTATTCAGGAATCGAATTTTTGCGGAAAAAAAA